CGCAGCTAGTATCGATCGGCCGCGACGCCGAAGGGCCGCTCCGGCGCGGGCGTATCAACGGTAATCTTAAGCTCATAGAGGCGCTACGGCTGGGTAGCAAGAAGGGTTTCCTAATACGAAGGCTAGTCACATTATAGAACCACCAAGGATAGCGGGACATGACGACGAGATAGTGCCGCACAAGGCTGGGCCTCGAGACCTTCAGCATCTCGACGTTCGAATAGATAGCCCGGCTCCGGGTCGACAATTACTGGTTTTCGATACTGGATACGGTGCTCCGCACCATCGAGGCCCTACCGCTCGACGGGTGCGGCGAACCCGGGCAGGCCGACTAGCACCGGATGGCAGCAGGTCTCGGAGGGGTCGGCCGACCACGGGACGCAGTGGAATCCTTCTTCTTCAAGGACGAGGGCGGCCGTCGCGCCCGGCGGGACGAAGGCCTGCTCGCATTCCTGGACGACGTCAGATATAGCGCCGTATGCGAGGCTATTACGGCCGCTCCCGAGCTCGCCTTCCCCGACCTACGGCGCTTCCTCTATACTAAGAAGGCCGACGTATAAACGGCGGTCCGTATCCTCCAGCATACTATCGCCTGGATCGACCAGGATAGCGCCGTCGCCGTTAACGAAGTAAACCCCAAGACCCAGAATAAGCTATTATTACGAGAGCACCTGCTAGACGCGCTCGGCAAGATCGGCCGGTCTCGCGGCGTTAAGGGCTACACCGCCTCGGTAGCGGCGGCGCAATAACTGTAGCAGCGCGTCCTCAACTTTGTCCAGGATCACATTAACGAGTTTACCGCAACGGAGGAGGCCAAGACGCTTATCAACGACAATGTGTACTCGTTAACAGTCCGGCCTATGCCGACCGGTTTACCCTCGACTCCTGGGCCCGCCTTCTGCGCCTTGTGAGGCGTGACACCGACGTAGACGGCCACACACTCCGCCCGGAGTGGTAGACCGCCCACGCAACGCGCCAGAGAGGGCATCAGAAACAGGTCTTAGCGCTAGTGCGGACGTTTTGTGTAGATGTGTTCCGGCTAGCCGCCGACCGCCCCGGGCTACATAACGCCGCTATACGTTCAGACCTCTACATAAGATCGAGGCGCTATCGTAGGCCTCCCTAACGACGCATCAATGCTAAGCAGCCGCACCGCCAAGTTACTACCCCCTGGCCCGGGAGGCACCATCGCGGATTCTAACGCCGGCGATACCGAACCCGTAGAGGGTAGTATTAGTAGCTAAGCCGAACCGAAACTACCGGAACCCCCGGTGGGCATACGTGGCCGTCACCGGTTCGGGTGGGACGACGTGGCCTCGTCGCCATCAACCGCCTCCCCATCAGAGAGAGGCTCGCCGCCCTCAGAAGCCCAAGGGTCGCCAGAGCCGACGGTCGACATGGGTGGCCGCAGTGGTAATGGCGAGGGTGGCGCCAGGAAGCACCTCCCCCACTGGAAGCTGGGCACCAGAGCCGGAATGCCAACAGACCCAGGAAGGCGCCGAGGGGCCAAGATGCGGTAGGAATATGATATCAGGTTTTCAGGCCCATACCGGGACGAATATAGGAGTAGGCACCGCTCAACAGCTTCGATAAAGGGTGGGCAAGACTGGCCTGCAGCAAGTCCGGGATGTGTAGATGTAAGAACAGGGGGCCGCCCCACGTAATCAATAACCGATCGTCCGATACGGCGCAAAAGAAGAGCCCTGCGCGTCACATCACATCTGCCGGGTTATCACCACCACACAAACCGACTAGCATCTTATCTCCGCCCAACCACTAGTGTTTTGCCTTTATAGTGCTGTAAGGGAAGACCCAGGCGAAGACCTGTAGAGCTATGTATCCCGCCAGGGGTACAGCCGCCCAGGCCACTAATTCGAGCCTATATGGTCTCAGTAAAAACCCAGCGTAGCATTCGATCCAACGTGAAGCCAGGTATATTATCTATATCTATATAAGGAAAAGAAAGATCGGTAAGAAATAGGACCTGCGAGGAGGCGGCCCGCTATCTCATATCGGCGACAGCTCTGCACCCAGGGGCATAACCGCAGGTCCTCTATATCAGATGCGGCACGGATCGATCCGGGCCCCAAGCCACTGTCAGACGTCGTCTGGCAACAGGAGGGATTTGGTGCTGCCGCCTCTGTGTGTATGAGACTGGTCTATAGGATGTTATGGTGAACGGGAGAGGAGCCAGGCCTCTCTCCCTTCCTGGGCATATATTACAGCTGGGAGGGTAGAGAGGCACTACTATGTAGTCTGTTGGCTGTAGACGAGAGGCTATGTAAACCCGACGTTTATTGATATTCTCTCTAGCTTATACGATATATATAAGAAGTGGTTTGCTATACTATCGCGTTATAACTAGTCCCCCAATACTGCTAACCGCATACCAAGCCAGATCACATTCATGCTATTGCTACGATGTCTACCGCACATGAGGAAGACGACTACCCTGACGACCTGTATGAGGACGAGCCGTCTGACGCCAACCAGCCCATGACCCTCGGCCGCGACGAACTATTTGCCAACGACCAGGACCCGCCTCAACAGCAAGACAACCGCCAGAGATGGGCGGTAGACCACTCTTCAGGCCACCACAAGTTCCGAGGTATGTCTCCTACGCGTGAACCCGGGCCAACAGAGCTAACGCTGTTTACGACGTCTTCAGCGCAGCGCTTCATCAACAAGGTGCTCGGCAGCGACTTCGAGCCGGCCGACGCCCTCAAGATTCTCCAGGAGAAGCATACGATCGATTACGGATCCCGCTCGGCGGGCGGGGCGCAGGCCAGGCCAACGGACGCCTTCTTCCCGCTGTTCTTCCTCGACTTCCTCAGCATCGTCGGCAAGCCAGGGCGCCCGATCACGAGGCGCGACAGCCCGATATTCGATAATATAACCGTCTCTTTCCAGAAGTACGGGGCTCCTTACGGCGCGAAGCACATCGGCGGGATCCCGTTCGACATCACCGGACGCACGTTCAGGATCGCCCAGGCCGCCACCAGAGAGATCTGGTTCATCGTCATGCATCCGGTCGGGGGCGAGACGGCCGATCCCGCCGCCTCGGCGGCGACGGCGGCGGGGGGCCAGCGCGAGAGGGAGCTGGCCGGGGAACGGAGCGGGATGGCCGGCGGGCTGGCGCGGCAGCTAGCAGCCTATATCACGGGCGTCTTCCAGTCGCCCGAGCTGCTGGGTGAAGGGGTTGAGCCGTGCTGGCGACCCGGGGGCAGGCACAGCCAGCGCATAAGCTCTACCCGCTGGACGGCGTTCCAAGAGCTCTTTATAGACGGCTGGACAACCTGGGCCGGCAGCCACCCCGCGGAGTCCTACTGGCGGCGGCACGAGCCGGCCTTCCACGCGTACGACTATGGCGCCAACATTGAGATCGAGGTCGGCAAAAGCATATATAACCTTCCGCGCGAGAGACACGTCTACCTGGACGAGGACAGCGAGGAGGACCGGGGGTCCAACGACGAAGACGAAGTGGAGGACGACGCCCGGCGCAGCCTTGACAGTCTCTTCATCAACGAGGGGCCGGATGGCCTTGCCGCAGAAGGAGGCGGCAGCCCTAGCGGCTCTGCCAACGGCCCCCAATACCGGCAGATGATCGGGGAGAGCGAGGGGCTGCAGAAGCTGATCACGGAGCTCGGCGCCCGCTTTAGGCCGGAGAACATCACCGCCCTCTCGTACGCCCTTACCGTCTACCTCTATAGCGAGTCGGGCGATTCCTAGACGCGCTATCTCCTTACGGACCGGAATATGCTAGGCCGCAGTTCCCTTAGTAATAGCGACTATACCTTCTACCCGCAGGCCTTCTACCCCGCATATAGAACTTCTCCTCTAACCGCTCGCCGGCATTCCTCGATTGGCTATATACCGCTATAAGGGTAATATAAGCGACCGGAACGAAGGCGCCGACGTACTATCGTTCGGATATTTCCAGGGCTACTCTAATACCAAGAGGAGCGTGCGCCATAGCCCGAACGATCTCCTACTACTAAGGGTTTCGTAACGGGGGCGCTTACGGCGCCGACGGCCTAACCTCGGCTACGACGCATACAGAGATAAGCGAGAGCGGCTACTACGTATTATCCGCGGGCACGCCACGTAAGAGAACCCGGAGTAGTCCAAGCCGTTCGTACGAGAGCGTAACTAGATGAACGTCGCCGTCGATAACGAGGAGGTCGTATACCGGATAGAGCAGGTCGTATCGCTCAACGTAGGGCATATGGTCAGCGCCGAGCGCACGTTTGAGGCCGTTATCCGCCCCATCTTCCAGCTTATCCGCTTCTTCCTCCTAGAGCACGAGTCGTACGTGCATATATTCCGGTCTATACCCCTCGAGGTCTTTCCCCGCATCGTGTCTGCCTACTGCCGCCTCTTCGAGCTAGCGCTTGACGAAATGGAGCGGCGTTACGTGCGGGAGGGCGAGCGCGGGCTCGACCTGGCTTCCTCCGAGGCCGTTGCCGTGCTTGACCGGCTCGGCGGGTACCTCTTCACGGGAAACGAGCGGCACCTGCCGAAGACGGTGCTACGGCCGCTGGGCACCATAGATAGCCTCCGTACGGGGGCGTAGCCGTATATCGACCCGGCCGTACTGGACCTCGGCTCGTCGGGGTCGGGCAGGACCGTTATCTACGTGGGCCGGTGGCCGCGCTCGGCGGAGACGAGGAGGCTCGTGCTGCTCCACGTGCGCGAGCTGCAGCACCACTACGGCGTCCGCGTGGCATCTAGCCGAGAGGCGGCCATCTGGTTTGACCAGCTGGGCGAGAGCGCCCTCGGCAGCCGGTCTGCCGTGGCCGACTTCACGGCGGAGCTGCTGCGCGAGCTGTGGATCCCGCAGACTGCGGGAGGGGGCCGAGGCCGACGACGGCCAGCCCGTCACAACCGAGCAGGTCGAGGCGTGCAGCCGCGCCGTCACCGCGTGGGAGACGTCGTCCGACGCGTTTACCTGCAAAGCGCTGCAGCAGCTCGTTAGAGGTCTCATGCCAGGCGGCGCCCGCGTGGCGATAACACTGTCCAGGACGCGCACCCGGCACGACTTCGCCGCCGAGCTGGTACGCGTTGTCGCAAGTGAGAAGGGGAGAGAGGCAGTGGCGCCGTCCAAGGCGACATGGCCAGACCAGCTGCAAGCCGCTATGGCCGTCGGGCTCGGGTATGAGGAGTGGGTCGCCGTGTTAGGGGGCCGTATACTTACGGCCGGGATAGAGTGGGTCCCCGATGCCGTGCGGGGCCGGCTAACGTTAAGGATAGTCGTCCGTTTATGCGGCTGGGAAGGCACACGGCCGGCGCTAACCGGGCCGGCCGGGTCGCTACGGCGCGCGGCACAGGAGGCGCAGATCAAGCATAGAAGGCAATAAAAGACCGGGCTCTCCGTTAAGCGCAAGGAAGGATCGATTTCGGCTACACCTTCCCTTTTATAGATATCCCCAGCATCGTTCAGTCAGGGTTCAACCAAACTAAGACGATCTTCTCCGGGAAAGGCGACATTAAGGTACTAGACCACTACTAACTTACGATGAACTGCCTGGCCGAGAACATCGACGACCCCCTCTACTGCCTCATACTAATAATTACGCTCACGGTATACTCATCGTCGGAAACGCTAGAAGTAGCGTAAAGGTCGCGGGAGTTTAGCATAGCAGCAAAAAGGAAAGACCCCGGGCAGCTCGCGCTCGTCATAGTCACGCAGATAATATGTTCCTCTACCCCAGGTTATTCCCGTGGGCAAAGAATTCCGGAGGGACAGCCTATACGTAAGGGAGATAACAAAGAAGATCGGTAGGTCACAGTAGGAGCTATTCATCTAACAAACGCAATACTAATAATAGGCTACAAGAGCATAAGGGCTACAGCAACCGGATGCTGCAGGCGGTCGGTTAGGTCACCTCGAAGAGCAAGCGCGACAGCCCGCGAAACACGGACCTGCAATTACGGTCGCAGGAGGAGCTTCTCGAAACGCTGCGGGGCTTGCAGTTAGCCATCAAGCGACCCGAGGACTTCATTAGCATAATATTCCATAGTCAGGACGACATTTGGGTAGAGCGGTGTGGGAGCCTTGTCAACCGTGCAGCATAAGGAGCACAAAGGATACAGCAACCGGATGCTATAGGAGCTATAATAGGTCATATCGAAGAGCAACCGCGATAGTCTACGAAACACAGACCTGCAGCTGCAACCCCGGGAGGAGCTACTAAGGACGCTTTAAAAGCTAAGTCTGCTCTCCGGCGTCGAGGAGACTTTATCTATATAGTCTTTTTAGCCGGGATAGAATCTGGGTGGAGCGTTGTGCAAGTATTATCAAGTAGGGAGGTAGAGAGGTTCTAGAGTAGCACAGGTACAATAATACTTCATACAGAGCGGACCGGCCATTACGAAATAAAGACGGCTTGTAGTTAGAAACCCGGTCCTGGAGATCGAGAAAGAAAATCCACTACTATAGCTGATTTGTATTTTGTCAGCTACCTAATAAACGCCCAATAATGATGGCAGTACCAACGCGTGCTCTAGAGGCGCCCAACCCAGCCTCCACTCAAAGTAGGCACTCAGTGCTGCCATTCAATGTATGCGCTTACTGCCGAAAGCAAGACCCACGGCCCGCTCAGTCGTCCATGCCGTCCAACTCGTCATCGTCATATCCTGGACGCCGCGATAGAGGACAACGTAGCCGAAGTAGGACGGGCCATCCTCGTGGGAGGTAGCCGCCATTGGCGCGTCGACGGCATAGCTTATAAAGATGGCGACGTATTCCGTAAGGGTCTTCTCGGCGCCAGTACTGGGGTTAATGACTCTCTCCAGAGCGAAGGCGAAGCTCAAGCCCTTGTTACGTATGACGAAGTGATCGACCCTGAGGACCGGGCCGTTAAGCTGGACAATAGGCATTGCTACAGGTTGTTTATTCCTAAGCAAGGGTTAGACGTGCGGCCGAGCGGATGGGCATAAAGCTTGTCCATCTTAGCAAACATAAGCTCGACGGCTACGCCCATCCTAATGAGCCCATTATCAAGCCTAAAGGCGGATACCAGCTCGCCAGCCACTTCGCCATATAGTACTACCTCAAGCCAGTCATCTATAGCATTCAAGTTAAGCATAATAGGTAACCCTCAATAGCGAAAGTAGACGGCTTCATTATAGACCATCATGAGACTCCTCTGTCCAACGTGGTATATGGCGAGAAGGGTCGTATTGACGCCTGGGGCCATAAGGGATCATAAGGGATCTCTGGGATGCTTGGCTGGCAAGCAGGCAAAGGCATCAAAGTACGTCTGGCGTTTTCTTTGCTACTATGGGCTCATGGTATGATTCTCTGCTTAATGAGCGGCGTCTTTTTCTCCAAGTTGGCTGTTTTCATCCAATTGTATTCATAGAAAAGGTCAATAGCTAGAAGTGATTCACTACGAGCAAAAGCGCAGATTCACCTACCTACCCACTGGCGCTTTATCTGCTCCTGCCTTTACGACTTCCAAAGAAGAAGGCAGGAACCCAGCCAATATTAAACCTATTTAACCCACACCTCAGAAACCTCGGAAACCTCTTCACCACCTCAACCATCACAACAACAACAACAACAACCACTACCACCGCACCAAATCACGTAGCAAGCCAGGTCCAAGAAATAACTACAGCAGTCATGGCTTCCAACGACTTTGTCATCCCAGCCATCACCCTTGACGCGCCCGACAGCCAATTAACGAACTTCACAGCCGACCGCGCCCGGGAGATTGCCGCCACACTGAACAACTGGGACAGCAACATACTCGACCGCGAGACCCGGCTCCGGACCAACCCGTTCCAGGCCACCGAGGGCATAATCGACATATCTAACCCCTTCCTCTGCTTCACTCCCGTCATTTGGGTCTTCAAGAGCCAGTCTGACCTTATTACTGTCTTCCAAAGCGCTTTCCGCCGTAATACGACGTTCTATAAAGACAACGTCAAGGATAAGAACGCCAGGGTTCGGCTGTGGCTGCCCAAGACCGGCCGCCAGCCCGATGACAACAACTACCCTACAGCCAATCTAATCAAGATGGGCGAAGGTAAGCAGCTGCTGCTGAACGACTGGTGCCTCAGCCAGCCGCGCGAGGACCCCAGAGTAAGACATCCAACCTACACCCGAGGCAGACGGACGCTGACAACCATCAGACAGGCCGGCTCCTCATCCTCACCACTACCGCCTACAAGGACCCCGAGTGCGAGTTCTGGACCTACGAGGCTGCTGCAAAGGCCGCCGCCAAGGAAGCATCTGCACCGGCTGAAGGACAGGCCCAGGCCGCCCAGGAAGCATTCACCATTCCGGACGACTTCAGAATTCATGGCACCGTCACACGCCACTTCCCCTTCGGCCACCGCTCCTTGCGGCCCTACTCCAACAGCAGACAAGAGAGCCCGAAATAGGTCCCCCGCCATCTCTACAACCCAGAGGGGCAGTAGGGGGAAGGAAAGGGTAGGGAAAAAGGCAAGCAGGTCCAGGGTTAATAAAGACAAATAGATCCCAAAGTAGAGGATAGCAAATACAAAGGACAGTAGGGGTAATATAAAAACGTGCGTCTCCCATCTCATAAGGAAAACGTCAATTAAAGAGTTAATTAGTAGAAATGGATTGAGTAGAACACGCCTTAAGGAGTTTGGCAGTATAACTTCTCGTACCCGGACCGCTAGGAGGGCTGGTTTCGACTGTACTAAGGTCCTTACCTATAATCGAGCTAATAAGACTTTAATAGAGGAGGATCGCTAGAGTAGTAGATACGGCTTTTATAATAGAACGACTACCCCAGAGTAGCCAGACCGACCGGAACAGCAGGAAAAACGTTAGAAATATTAGGTAGCGGGCTCCTACGGCACCGGCCGGGTCGGGTTAAGGCTAGGCTAAAGGTCAGGTAAGGGGGAGGGGGGGGGGAGGGTATAGTAAGGATTTAGATTCGGGTTAGGGTAGAGGGAGGAAGGTAGTAAGTAAAGGAGGGGGATCGAGGTAGGTAAAAAAGCCCCCGGGAGCTTTTCTCTAGTCGCTTAAGGATGAAAGTGAAGAAGCCCCCGGGGGCTTTTCTCCAGTCGCTCGAGGATGAAAGTGAAAAAGCCCCCGGTGGCATATCATAGAGGTGGGCGGTTGATCACTCTACGGGTCACTACCGCCTCTACGGTGAATAAGCAAGACCCGACGAGTAAGCAGAACGGGGGGCTAACCGACGTAGCTAGCCGCCCGATTCATCGAGAGAGCCCTTATAAAGGACTTTGAGCCCGCGGACGCGCTCAAGATGATACAAGAGAAGCACACCGTCGACTTCGGGTCGGCCCGCGCGGGGGGCACCCAGGCGAAGCCGTCGGACCGCTTCTACCCGTCCTTCTACCTCGATTTCTTTAGCATGGTCGGCAGACCGGGCCGACCGATCTCAAGGCCCGATGGTCCTATCTTCGATAATATTACCGTATCCTTCTAGCGGTGGTCGGCGCCGTACGGCGCGAAGTACGTTAGAGGGATCCCCTTCGACATAATAGGCCGGACGTTTAGAATCGCGCAGGCGGCCACGCGCAAGATCTGGTTCATCATTATATACCCGGTAACGGGGGAGGTATTAGAGCTACCGTCATCGGCCGCCGACGCGGGAAGGCGCCGGGAGCAGGCCGGCGAACGGAGCGGCATGCCGGTGCCGCTGGCGTACGAGCTAGCATCATATATTACCGACATCTTCTAATTAGCCGCGCTACTAGGCGAGGGCATCGAGCGCTCGTAGCGGCCTGGCGGTCGGGAAACCCAACAGATTAGCTCTACGCGGTGGATGCGTTCTAAGAAGCGTTTATAGCGGACTAGGCGGCCTAGTCGGCGCGCCGCGGCGGTAACGAGTCGTTCTGGGCGAAGTACGAGCCGGCCTTCTATACTTACGACTATAATACTAATATCGAGATCGAGGTAAGCGACGAGCTTTACGACCTGCCGCGTAAGAGGCACTACTTTATAAAGGAGACGGGCGACGATGAAGATAAGGCGGAAGGGGGGGATAAGGAGGAAGGGGAGCGGGACGACGATGTCGGTAGAGAGACGCTCCGCCTGGAAGAGTTGTCCGTACGGGGTCGGCCGACCGCGCGGGCGAGACGCGGAGCGGCAAGAGGCCGGCGCGCAGACGGCTTCGAGGACGCCCGCTATGAGCGGATTCTGCGCGAGTGCAACGGCCTGAGAAAGCTGGTCTCCGAGCTCGAGACCCGGTTCCATCTGCAGAACATCACGGCCGTCTCGTACGCGCTCGCCATCTGCATTAATAACGACAGGGCGACGGGCGGCGATACGGACTTATCGGAGACGCGGTGCCTATTAGCCGACAGGAACATGCTCGGGAGGGAGTTCGCGAGCGCGCAGGACTTCACCTTCTATCCGCAGGCCTTCCACCCGGTATACGGCAACGTATCCTCCTACTGCCCGCCCTTATTCCTCAACTCGCTCTTCGCCGCCATAAAGGGCAACATGAGCGACCGGGACGAGGGCGCGGACGTCCTCTCCTTCGGCTACTTCCAGGGGTACTCCAACATCAAGCGCAGCGTCCGCCACAGCCCCTACGACCTGCTGGCCACCAAGGGGTACGCAACGGCGGCCATGACCGTGCCGGCGTCGGATACCGGGGCCACGGCGGCGGTGCGGGAGAAGCGCGAGCGGTTACTACGTATTCTCCGCGGACCCGACAAGGCCAAGCCGTTCGCGAGGGAGCGGCGGCAAATAGACGTTGCTATCGAGGCCGAGGAGGTAGCATTCCGACTCGAGCAGGTAGTCTCGTTAGATATCCGATGTATAACGGCGGGAGAGCGGACGTTTAAGACCGTGATACGCCCTATCTTCTAAATAATACGCTTCTTCCTAGTCGAGCAGGAGTCCTTCGTGCACATCTTCCGGTCGATGCCGCTCGAGGTCTTCCCGCGGATCATGTGCGCCTATGTACGGCTTTTTAAGCTGGGCCTCGACGAGATGCACCGCTAGTTCGTCCTCGGCGGCGAGCAGGGGCTCGACCTGGCGCGGTCCGAGGCGGTCGCCGTCATAGACCGGCTGGGCGGGTATATGTTCTCGGGCCACCCGCGGCACCTCGTCGGATCGGTCCTGCGGCCGCTCGGCACCTTCGCCAGCCTCTGGGCCAGTGGCTGGCCCTTCCTCGACCCGGCCGTCGTGGACCTCGGCGGGTCGGGGTCGGGCGGGGCCGTCATTAACATGGCGCGGTGGTCCTACTGCGCCAAGACGGGCCGGCCCGTGCTGCTCCACGTGCGGGAGCTGCGCCACCATTACGGCGCCCGGGTGGCGTCGTCCCGCGAGAGCGCCGTCTGGTTCGCGCAGCTGGGCAACGCCGCGTTCACGAGTAAGACGGCCGTCGCTGCTTTGCCGAGGAGCTCGTCCGCGAGCTGTTGGTGCCGTAAACTAAGGTCTTTATGGTGTAGTAGCTTAGGCGCCGCCTTTACGAGGGCGGCGCCGGCAGAACCGGCGATACGGGCGTACCTATTCTGATGGAGTCCGTTGCGGCGTGCGAGCAGGCCCTGGCGGACTGGGACGTAGCCGGTGACGCATTCACCTGGAAGGCTCTCCAGCGGCTCTGTCGCGGCCTGAGGCCCGGCGGCGAGCGCGCGGCAGGACTTCACCTTGGAGCTGTTACGGGTCGTTGGCGGCGACGCCGGTAGAGATTCGTTCGCGGCTAAGAATATAATATGGCCGTCGACGCTATATTTCGCTATCGCTAACGGTTGCGCGTCCCCGGGTAGTAACGTTAATATAGCGATGTAGGAGGCCGTCTTTACGGGCTATTTTCTCGTTGCCGGTATCGAATAGGTACCGGGTCCGGTCCGCGGCCGGCTTACCTTAAGAAGTATTATACGGCTCGGGGCAAGGCCGGCGCTACCTCGGCCCCGATTAGCGCACCCGGATCGCTATAGCGGGCGGCGTAGGAGGTAAAGATCAAGTACGAGAAGATATTGAGAGACCGGGCCGAGCGTCGGGAGCGCCATCTACGTATTGACTTCGGCTGTCCGGTACCCTTTACTAACATTCCCGGACTCGTACTATCCGGCTTTAGTCAGGCGAAATCCATCTTTTTAACAAGGGAGACGCCAAGGTGCTCGACCACTACAGCTCGCTATGAACTGCCTCGCAATAACATCGACGATACGTTCTGCATTTGATGCTCATGATTGTCCTGACCGTCTGCTCCTTATCCGAGACGCCCGAGGTCGCGCCCGGCGCCCGGACCTTCAGCGCGGCCCCGAAGCGGAAGAGCCCGGGCAGCTTGTCTTGTTATAGTTATGTATATAATATAGTTTTTTTACCTAGCGTCCTTCCCGTGGGCAAAGAGCGCGAGCGGCACGGCGTATGATATTGCCGAAATGACGAAGAAAATCGGTACGTAATAATAATCCTTTGATCCGGTATTAAATATTAATACGGCGCTAGAGTAGAAGGGTTATAGTAACCGTATACTCCGAGAACTAGGCTGGGTAACGTCTTAGAGCTAACGGGACAGCCCGCGAAATACGGACTTATAGCTCCGTCTACGAGATGAACTCCTCGATATTTTTCGAGAGCTACGCGCCGCTATAAAACGGCCGGACGACTTCATCAGCATAGTCTTCTATAGCTAGGACAAGATTTGGGTAGATCGTTGTACTAGTATTATCCACGGGTGAGGCCAGGTAAAGAACTACATCGAGGAACCTTCCTCTGCCGCTCAGATTAGTTAGCTATAGAACATAGTAATAATTCTAATTATCTATAACAGAGTTTCGTTATTATTACTCCTTTGATCAATAAGGTGCTGCCTACCGCTTAGGGTCAGCGTCTTCCTACGCCTAACAATCATTGTTTACGTCGACAGCCTGCCGACGATTAAATTTGTATGGGAGAAATTTCGGCGCTAGCAGGTCATGGGGGTTGCGACGATTGGGATCAACGTCTGCCGACGATTAGCGGTCTGGGCGCTACACGTGTCGCGGTGAGTTCAAAACAGGTAAGCTTGTCAAAGGATCAACTACGAGCCGATTGATGTCAACAGTAATACGTTTATATGTAAGTACGGTCGCTTTGAAGCTAGTCTGCTTTTCGGTCGGTTTTTTGATGGTCGTTGAAAGATAGGGTATGTAAGTACGGACCATCTCGTCATATGCGAGCGGGCGGCCTACCTAGACAATATGGTTGCTATTATCTCTGCTACTACGTAGTAAAGATAGCTAACCCTACGATTACTACCTCCCTCTAGCGGGCCCTTAACGGAGAAGATGATATAAATAGGGCTTTAGTAGGATCTAGTTTTCATCCGGTATGTATTCAGTTACGAATATGCATAATATAATAAAGGGACATGGAAAGCGAAGTAAACAAAGTATGAATGAAGTCGATGACATGGAGATGTATCTAAAGTAGAGTCAGTGCGAGATGCAAGGGCTCGGGAAGAAAGGTCCAGGTAAAACCCAGACACAAAATGCCGTGCTATTGGGATGCTGGCTGACAGGTTGATGGCGAAGAGGATTAAGTAGAAGTAGTGTTTTTATATAGAGTGGAAGTGTCAGAGCCCTCCCGGGTAAGGGCTAGTTAGAGGTAGTAAGGAGTCCAAGCAACAAAGGAGCAGCTCAGATAGATATACAGCGCGGGGAGTGCACGTCGAGGGAGGAGCAGATTTCAGTAATCCATTATGTTACCCCTGACAGTCATTGTTTGCGTCGACAGCCTAACCTCTAGGACACGACGAACTGTAGTAGAGTTCATAGAAAACGCCATAGAAAATAATTATG